ATGATGACATAAAAATACATCAAGTCTTACTGGTTGATGCTGCTTCAGTGGCTTTGCCATGTAACAAAAACACATTATTGAAAAGCTAAAGACCTGACTGCCTGATGATTCTCCATTCCCCTTTCTTTCAACATCTGTGACACAAGGTCACAGGACTCCCTTCACATTTCCCCCTCCTTCTCTTTCCCTTAAAGAAACAAAAGACAGATGGGCAGAAAGTGGAGGAGCTGTATCTCCTTCTTTCACTTAAATCAGAGGTTTCTCTCCYAGATGCAAAACCACCTAATTCAAAACATTTTTATTGTAACAAGCTTTTCTCAGAAATGCAGAACTTAACAGAAAATATGTAATTCAGCACAAACATTTCAGTTTCCCAACTCACAGATTCAGCTACAACCTAGCAAAATATTTCCAGCTGTCTAACAAACACCTTGTGCAAAATACTTATCTATGTGTCTGTGTGTGTGCAGTCATTTGCAAACATACTATACAACTAAAAATAATTAAAAGATAGGGTAGGCATCCAGCAGGTAATAAATAGCAGATTTTATGTGTAACCTATATCCAGACCCCATTTTGTACAGATTATGATGTTAAATTTTCTTGCTAAGAAACTTCCTCCTACAATTAATGGGCTATCACAATATATGAATATTTAACTTATTCAAAGAGTCCTTCTCCAAGAACTCCTAAGCAAGTGTTTTAACTAAACAGAAAGACTTCTAACATTTTTATTTCACCATGTCTGTTTATGAAACACATGCTTGCATTAAATTACTTCAGCCTGTCCTATGAAATTATGGTCTGTAATTAGTATTATTTTACTAGACATTGCAGTCAGAATGGTCATTTAGAATCCATTCATTTTGGACCTACATATAGAAACATCTGAGTGTGAATTTACAGGGTACTTTGTACCATATTCTACACCTTACATTCAAGGCACATTTCCAGTCAGTTTCAGCAAGAGTTGTCTATATACAGACTTAGCTTCTGTTGTTTGCTTTGTATACCCTCAAAGATCGTGAAAACATATTGGGACATCAGATTCACCCAGCTACCTAGAACCACTCTGCAACCCTTACCAGTCTAGAGAAAAACACACTGTAATCGGAGGGCATCAAATTGCCTTAGACTATGGAGCTGTATTATTTTCTTTGTTTATGATTTCTATTACTATGCACATTCTAATCTCTAAAACAACGAAGTAAAAATGCAATGAGGTGTTTTCTAGGTGAGATGGTGGTGTCGCCATTAGGACAGCAATTCTAATGACTACAGACATGAAGCTCAGCTTTATAAAAGCTAACATCTGAATGCTTAACTAACACTGTAATACTTAAATTCAGGTTTAATGGGATTTCAGTTAACACATTCAGCTGTGAAAAAGGCACCTCACATGAATTTATCTGGAACATTCCAAAAGAAAAATTTTAAGTTCATTTATATTGAACTTTCCCATTTGAACTCCTGAATAAATTAGTCTCATGACAATCATGAGATAATCAGGGATAAGGGAAAAAAAACCCCACTGTACTGGCACTACCAACACCAACACTGAGAACAGCTGCAACTTTTATTCACTTCAGATTCCACCATCAGAAGCAAAATACATGTTACTTTTTCAATACTAACTTCTAAATGCCCTAAGTCAGAGAGAAGCAAAAACTTTCATAAGTACTTTTATAAGTGTCATGGCAAACATAATTTTTTACTTCACTGTACCAGAAGTACAGTGAAAATCTCAACTCTTTTCTCTCCCATATATGTGTATGTGACATAAATGCACACATATATGTCCATGTAAAACAAAACCCGAAGTCTAGTTTTGGGTTTATAAGCTGCTACTGAATTTTTGGCTCAAGCCAACCTTGAATTTTCCTTTAAATTATTTTTAATACACGTAACATATTTTATAATAATATAAATATAACAAAATAATTGTATTAATTTAGCTAGTAAAAATTCTGCTCCTTCCACATCAAAAAGTTTATGATTGTATCTAATATACACAAAATGAGATATCAAATAATGAGCCAGTCGAAACATTAAATTGTGGACACATGATTGACCATCACCCATCTTAGTCTTTTATTGCTTTTAAGAAACTACTCCTGCTACTGTTTATATGCATGAGWCTAAAACTTTCAGGTACACCATCAGCTAACTTTCTCAGCAGTAAAGGCTGCTTCACTGCTTGCACTCCAAAACGAACTATGCTATGCTGTAATATAGCACAGGAAAAGTGATAAACAAGCAGAATAAAACACATTTAGGCCTTTATTCAACAGGAAAAGCCATATGGTAGATATAGTGAATGCTAATATATGGATTTTGGTCTACTACATCTACTGTGTACAATTTAATCAGACTTCTAATGATGAACAAAAAATAAACGTACATAGTATTTGTTTTACCAGGGACTTGATGCTTCATCAGGAACAGGAAACTTTCCAATGCACCAAATGTCTCAATCAACTGCATTTTCTAGAATAATTCACCTCCTATAAACAGTTTATCCTCACCAAACAGTGACACTGCTGTTTCAGAAACAATATGATGAGGTCAGTTTCATTCAGACAAACTCATTAAAAGTTTAGCAGAGATTTGGCTTTGTCTTCATGCAGAGTGCTGACTGACTTTGTGATAGTCACCGCTTATTTCAATATATTTGCGTTGTTTATTAATGTGCCTCTAATGAGTGAAGATTATGGAAACGAAAATTCAGTGTAAAATCAATGGTAACATGTGGGAGTACCAGTATAATGAACATCCTGTGTGTGAGGAGGTACATCTATGCCCTGGCAAACATGCGATACACACATTATTCGCAGGCAGATATTTCCACATGGTAGACTTTTTTGGTTTATTCCCTTTGAGGCAAATGCTAAAATTTAAGACCACGGATATAAAAATCATCTCTTTGACCATGTCCCTAACCTCCAGGTTAATAAGCACCTCCATGGCAGCACAACAATTTAATAACTATTTCAAATGTAATAAATCACAGGAAAAGAAACCCATGCAAGACAAAACACAGAATTATTGGAAAATCGTTGAAGTACTTTCTTCAGAGAAAATCAAAGGTTGAATTTACCGAGAAACACRTCAGCAGCAAAAGAACTAATCAAAGACTCAGTTTTGGCGTCTCTGTGTTTTGTAGATAAGGTTATCATACAGAGAATATCGTGCCAGAACATAAAGAGAAAGACTTGTATCCTTTACCTCCATAAAAATACGTACTTATTTAATGACCTTAACTTCAGTGAAAGAATGCATGGGCTTCTGTGTTGCTCAGGGGTCCACTGCCTCCTCCCTCCAAACTGTAGAATTTTCCTGTCATTAAGGTTTTGTTCAAATTTGGTTGATACTGACTAACTCACTAGTGTTAACTGAGAAGATGCATGAACTGGCAACACCATTGCTTAAAACTGATTTGCCCCACAAAACTGGATTCCAATTTCCACATAACTTTTACAGGCACATTTTAGCAGACCATTTCCAGCTCCTGGTTTTACCAGTGTATCTTACCAGATGATTATCTACTTGCAGAACCACTCACTAAACCAGACACTTAACTTCCCCTCTTTGGAGACAAAAATAAAACCAAACCTGATTTGGTTTTGCCTGTTGCCTTTTTTTTGGCTTACTCAGACATAATTCAGCTGGGATTAGAGATGTATCAGTATAAAACTGAATATAGGTTCAAGTAMATGATGGGAGAATTTATCTTAAGCTAACGATTAAGAACATGAAAAGAAGTTCACAACAACTACTGTGTTTTGGTATTTCACATCATGAGCTCAAGCTATTTCAAATGGACAAAACAATTCTGTGAGTTTCCATAGAAACATGCTAGATGAGAATGTATACTAAATAGTGGTCGCCGCAAACCAGACTGCATTGCAGAAATGTCTTTAAAATGCATTTCAAAGACAAATGAAAATGATTTTAACAGCAGGACCTCTTTCAACATTTTTTTCAAACACTAATGAATTCAACAAAACACACACATAACAAGAACTGCAGCCAAATGCTAATGCACTTATTGATAACATAAAGATAAAGCAGATGGTCAGCATAAATTTTCATGTAACTTTGGAAGCTAYAGAGTGCTCATTTTGCTCTGAAAAAGGCTTAAAAATTTTGAATTGTTTTTCTTTCTTAAAAACATGCATCTTGAATTGACTAAGATAAATATCAGATATGACATTGTAAATATTGCTTCTAATAGTTCAAGGTTCTTTCGTTCAATATGGTTTCACGCTCTAGAAGCTAGCTTTTATGTAACTGAAACTTAATTATTTGAGTTAACGCTAAAAAATGGCAGTGTACATTCGAAGTGTCACCCGTTAGGGAGATGTTATCAAAAATTCTAAAAGCAGGCCCAATCTTTGCTCTCCTTAAAAGCAAAAGTAAATTTGCTTTTMTTTAATCTTTGAACCTCAATGTTGGTCAATGAAATGTGTATGAAACTGCAGCTGAGGTTTTCCCCTTAGTCTCAAGAAAAATCTTGATACKGAGGCAATATTTTTCTAGCAGTATATGACTCACAAGAACTTAAGTAGAGTTTTAAGATATTTCTGAAATATAAATAATATTCTGAGTATTTCTAAATGCTTTAGAGAAGTCATAGATTTTTTGTTCCCTCCAGCTTAGCATTACACATTTCTGTGTGAGTTTCAATGCATACATGCACATATACACAAATATACTGAAAAATARTAAGTATTAATTTGCACTCAACCTGCTGCATGTACAGCAAATATTGGAGCATAAGAACATTGTTTCCTAGTACACACATAGTAATATAAACTGAGAAATCAATGAAGAGTTAATAGCAAAGTTATATACAGAACACATTATGCATGTACAAATAAAACACAACCTTCGCAAATTAAATAAAGAACAGGAAAACCTAATGAAAAACCAGCATATAATTTATCAGTATTTTACATTAGTGAGTCCTCTACTTGACATAGAAATAAACAAGTACCTACCCTGATCCAAAATCTCTGCCTCTTCTTTTTTGGCTTGCTGCAGCAGATAACTTGGATCGCTATCCTTTGTTTCTGTAAGATGGATTTAAGATACCAGTTAACCTTTGATTGTGAATGGAATTGAGCAAAATGCTCTTCTGAAATGAACATTAGGCATGTTTATCTAGAAATAGTTGTTGTATGAAACCACAGCAGTAAAACAACTGACAACTGGAGGAAAAAAAAAAAATTATACTTCTAAGATAGAAGTAGAAATAAACACAGAAATAAAAATGTATATACAACATATATAAGCAAGCGCATACCCTGATCCAAAATCTCTTCCTCCTCTTTTTTGGCCTGCTGCAGCAAAGAACTTGTATCACTATCCTTTGTTTCTGAAAAATGGGTTTAGGGTAATGCATATTAACCTCTACAAGTGAACAGAAATAGCTCCCTACTGAGAAAAAAATACCCTTCTGAAAAGAATACCTGGTATTTTTATCATAGTACCACACAATGCAACAGTAAAAATGTGGAATAAAAACCTAAGATTCATACTTGCTACACAGACATACTTTCAGATTACTTCTGGATAATACTGTTGCTGCAACTTACATGCCTACTACTGTTCAATGTAAAGATTTGCTTCCTTCCATAACAAGGCAGCAGAATCTAGAAAACTATAGAAATGTTACGATTCAATTTTGTAGATAATAGATAGAAGATAAGGTAAACACTAAAAAACTGTTAATATAAAGTTTAGCATAGAAAAAGAAACCAATTGTTAGGGCCCACAGGTCATATAGCTATAAATATAGGCTGGAAATTGGAAGACAACATCAAAAAGAAACAGAGAAAAGACTCTGGCAAGCATTTCCACCAAAACCAACAGCARAATCCCATGATGGTTTATTAACTGCCAATTTGAATTTTATGCAGAACAGCATTACTTCTCTATGAAAACTCTGCATACCAAAACAACATACAGAAATAGATTAGTGGGCATCAGATGACTTGAATAAAACGGATTACAATATTTTTCACCTTCATGATGTCCATGCATCATCCTCAGCACATCAGACTTGACTGGAATAGGAATATTTGCCTCTGGTGGAATATTTCTGAACATTTCAGGGTTTGCATTCTGTGTGCAGGTCATATAAGAGACAGCATGCTTGGCTTCCATATAGTACATAATGTAAAAGTTACACATTTCATCATTGGCAGTACCCCTACAAAACACAGAAAAGACTCGGCACTTAGGAAAAAAAMTGAGTTGAATATCCATCCAACTTGTTAAATAGGATACTAACGTATTGCAATCAAATATGTAAATGTTCTGAACTAAAACATGCAACACCTTCATTGCAATGAGTATCAGAAGCCTCTTTTGCTTTTTACTGGAGAAAACCCGTTTGCCCAGACAGAATGCCCATGTAGCTCAGAAATTCTTAACAATTTGGTTTTGATTCTACAGAAAATTGCATCTTCCTTCTTATTTCCCCAGGATGCTCCACACAGTTGCCTCTGTGCTGCCACCCATTCACATGTTTTGATGAAATATGTGAGAGCTGTCTCATTCAKTACATTACTATTCACTTAATTCTCTACAAATCTTGGACAAATGTAATTTGAAATTGTTGCAAATAATAGATACGTTTCATTTCAGTGGCTTCTTGTTATGACAAATCTTTCCCCTTTTCCCATTCAAGTGCATTCATTTATTGTCCAATCACACTGGTTCTAATACAGCAAAACTTACTTGCATTACATACTGAGACAGAGTAAGTATCTCTTAAAGAGAACATAGCACTGTCATCTCAAGAACAATTTGTTTCATAAGCTTCTGTAACAAAAACCATGAGTGCAAGGGGAATGATTAAACACTAGCAAAGTTCAGCTCCTTGACAAATGTCATGCATGTACTTGAAACAGAAATGGCTCTTCCATACTGCTACATAATCCTATCTTCAACAGAAAAACAGCTGCCACAAGAAGACTTCTTTTTGGAAAAATATTGCTTTGTGAAGCAGAGTATATATGGCTTTTTTACAAATGGTCTGTTTCTTCCTCTGCCATACAGGTTACTATGTTTTGTTTAGAGCTACAATCCTAACAATGAATAAGCTAGGACTTTTAGAGAGAAGTTCATAAAACACAAGGGTTTACGTCAAGATTTAATTAGCTTTCAGAATTAAACAGTGAGCCATAACCAATARAAAAATACAGAGGTGTTCTATTAGCTGTTTTCAAAAGATATCAGTGCTTTTCCAGCAGCATCCTGCATCATTCCTTTATTCACCATAGCAACAATAATGACACAAGCCAGAGAGGGGAGAGAGGGAAACATGGGAGAAGAGAATGTTTCAAAAGAGAATTGGTTATCTTTCCATGCACTGAAAGTTTAGCATCCCTTGGAGACAACAAAAATGAGACTCTAACTGGGCAAGCTCTAGTTAAGCTTTTAGAAAGCATTAACTTCACTGCTGGATCTCTGATTCCATCACTGTAGTTACTTCCTTTAAAAACTACAGTAGAAAATGGGATGTGGAAACCACACAAAGCGTGGTTCACCTGACATGCTACCATGTCTAAGCATTTGTGGTGGTTTAGTTTCAGATGGCAGCTCAGTACTGCCACTCACTGCCCCCACTCCTGCCCTCCCCATAGTGGGACAAAGCAATACTTGTGGTAAAATAAAATAATACTTAACAATAAGTAATACTAATACTAAAAATAATTACAAGAATACCGATAAACAATATGGCATGATTCATACAATACACATTAATATAGCGCAAACAAATTACAATGAGTAAATTTTTAAAAAACAGTAATTATAGTAATATTAACTGTAATGAAGAGGACAGCAAGAGTTTCCCCACTGAAATACTAGTACCTTGAAAGACAATACCACAATTGTCCTAAGACGGTTACTAAAACTGTAAGGATTATTCAACAAACAGGAACTACTTTTGGTAAAATTAGAAAAACAGGACAAGAACTTCCTGAACTTGGGAATAAAGGTAATCAGTTACATTAAGGTTCTAGATACACATKTTTAGTGTCATTTGTAAAAACCTCTTTTCATTTTTTTTCAACTGTTACTTATCACTATTTTAACTACCCACTAAATGGTGATAATTCCAGGTTGAATCTTTAACCCTCCACTGAGATGCGATCTTAGGGTGCTCAGTACAGGAAATATCTCTCCTTGGAATGCTGCAGCACACACCCTCAGAATGAAAAGATTTCCATAGATTATCTTTGTATCTCAACATTTGCCTTAAATTACAGTTCAAAGAACCAGAGCCAGCTAAGAGAATATTAATATTGTATCTATTTTTACAGCTGTATTTGTCCACTTCATCTTACTTCACAGTCTGAGTCTGTCAGCTGAATAGTATCAGTTACAAACAGGAAAATCTGAACTGTGTTTATTATTCTTAGTGATTTACTGAAAAAACATAACTGCTGTATTAGTCCATATTTTTAAGGTTAGATTTTGCAATAGGTCAAAATAATTCTGATAAGCTCTTATAAACTTTCTTTCTGAAATAATACAGAGAATTGTGAATATTTATTATGTCATTTGAAGATTTATTATTTCACTATAAGTAGGCAATAATGTCACCTAATTAAAAAATACGTTTTCTAGATTTRGTATTCTGAATCCTTCTCTAAGTGCTGATAGCCAAACATCTCAGTAATTTGCTTGGCAGCATAGCTTCACTTCAGAAGTGTGCTGTACTCTTCAGCAAAGTGAATAAGAAATGCCAAGGAACATTGTGTAGAGTTAAATCTTAAGAAGACCAAACAGTGTAACAAAACATTTTGGCAGAAATAGTTTCTTAGCATTACCTTGAAAGAATACATGAAACAAAAAATATTTCTATATATGACTAAAACCCAAGAAAAAAAAATAGTTAGAAAATGGAGCAAATAGATAAAATTTACCCTATATGTGTCTCTGTAGTTCTGCCTTCCCCACTGAACACACATCTGGCTGCTAGGATATCATCATAGCTAATGTCTACTGGATATTCCACGGGGTAGAATGCCTGAAAGACAGGATGATTCACCACAATCAATGAAAGTGCTTCATATTTTCTACATCAATAGATGCTGATGAGGACAGTGCTACATATCTGAAATTACTTTTGCATCATAATCTATTCGTAATAATACTGGGCAATATTCGCTTGCAGCAGTACAAAAGCACACAACCAGTGGAAACACCATGATGCAAATCTGTGGACATGCCATTTCCAATTCAGCTTCTCAGTTTGAAACATTAATAATTAAAACTTACATTTAGAACTAAAAGAACCCAACCAACCTGTGGTAGTTGTGGACTCTGTCTACCAATCAATGTCCACTGACCATTTCTCACTCTGTATCCACTCACTACTTTACCTATAAGATATCAATATGAGAAGTGAGACATACTTAAATATGTAGAAATACTTAAAAAAATATGTTGCAATGTCAACCTTTTTCCGTTAAGTATTTGATATTCCTATGTTACCCTTACCTAGTCTGTGTGTATGAACCCTGTAGGCAAAAAGGTGCATCGGAAACCTTTTGTAATGGCAGGAAATGTCTGCATCAACCACTGCAAAAATATGACAGCAATAAACAATGACAAACATAATTTATCAGAGAAAGGTTAAATTACTGTACTTCATTCAGTATGGTTTACAGAGTGTATACCTACAGAGGACAACAGATGATTTCAAAAGATAATAGATTATATCTTATACTTCTGCAGTGTCCATCTCAAGACATCTGCAAAGAAAAACTAATAAAATATAGTACGGATCACTTGAAAATGACTTACTCTGATGATGTAAATATAAAATATTTCTGGTTAAAAGCCAGAAGTACTTTTTCCAGTGTACCCTACCGCTGTTTAACGAAATAAGGAATACATTTGCTTATAGACTATGCTGAGGGATGCTTAAAATAGACAGAGCCATAGTAAATGGTCTACTCAGGGGAAAATTAAAATAAAATGATATAATTCTGAATGGATACAGTTTACAATTAAGTCGTGATTATAAAGGCCAGGGTTAGGCAGACAGTTCATCAGAGAAGTGGCGTAGAGTATTTACAGAGTAGTACTTGTGTTAGGTACATTAACAGTACCTAAAGAAGAGAACCACAGAAAAATCCAGATGCCTKTCTGAGAGATATCTCCATGTTTCCTGATTCAACAAATTTCATGCTCCACTTTGGAGCTGTAAATTTTATTGAACATGAGAAGGCAGTTATAAGCAGGCACAGAACTGTTTGTTTGCCCTTTCCCCTCAACCCTCCAGTTGAAAAGTTTTCAAATTGATCAAGTTTTTTGGGGGGTGGTGGGAGATTAATTCATTTCTTCATATTGGAGAGTAAAATAATTTTAGCTTAAATTCAAGTTTAAAAATGTTTCAAGCTGCTGAATTCACTAAACAGCTGGAGTCAGCTGAACATTTGACCACCTCATCCTGTATAGGGAATGGGACAAATACTGTTCTTGGTTATCTAATTTCAAATTCTGGTACAGCAGAGTAAAGTCAGTGTTCAATTTCCTTAAAACAGAACATTCCATGCTGGTGGGAAAAAAGGATACTGGGAATTTCCAAGCCGAGTTTCAGATATAATTCAGGATTTTTAATAGAAACTGTTCTGAAACTTTCTATTAGAATGGGGTTTTTCAGCCTTTGGACCTTTTAACCAACTAGGAACACAGGAATAAAATTCTTAAATAGCATCTCCTTACTGGGAGAAATTAATTGACTAAAACTAAAGTCTTAATAGAATTAACAAATATAATGAATGACAAATACAGATGAAGAAGAGCCTAAAACAATTTATGGCACTTTAGAGAGGAGAGAAGGGATTAGAAAATGGGTAGGGCATTTTTTGTAAAATACTAAGATGAAAATAAATCAAAGAAATACTCATCATTACTTGTACCAACGTTGTGTTTCTACAGCATTGATTGCCTTTACTGAAGTAATCACAGGGGAATCTGATACAAGCTYAAACATAACTATTTCTTTCATAATTTGTTCAATCAAGCAAATAATTAATTTGTCCATCTACATATCTGCAAGCCTCTGCCGAATTTTCTTCCACAATAAGCAATAAAAATAGATCAGGTGGTGAAATTATACAAACACTTTGTGGAATGATGACTCACTTTTCTCGCCGGGTGGTATGACTGTGTTCACAGACATCATAAGATACATTCCAGCAATCAAAGGCTGCCTGCAAAGCAAAACCCAAGCTCTGGTAAAGAATTCCTCTGTAAAATACAAGTGCAAGTGACATGATATGCAACACCACTTGACACTGCTGATTTCTACACTTTGTTCCATCTACATTGTTCCAACGAAACAGTTATACTGAGAAAGAAGCTGCTTCACAGCAGTTGCCTTCCCCCACCCTTTTTTTTTCTCCATTTTTCTAAAGTATTTTCTGCAAAGTATTGAAAGAGGACAAAACTATCATCTGCAYAATTACTGTGCGCATTGTAGATTTCTGCACACTAAGCTCTAAACTGGATTAACTCAGTACTCATAGCACTGCTGTGCCAAGTTTCTTATCAGAAATGAAAATTTTTGCCAACAGATGACACAACTTCAAAATTCTTAATATTGTGAAATACGTATTATTTTTATTTCACGTTTTCAAAGGAATCCATGCTTTCTGTTCCAAAGATAAAAAATAGGYAAGCATTTTCATAGCTACTCACTTTTGATGTGTCAGATGTAAAGTTACACCAGAACAGTCCTTGTGTTTATCTGTACAAATTGTGAAACAGTATTATTATTAACAATTGAATCCCTGTAAATTACTAAATATTAGTAAGATGTTTCTGCTGTGTAAAAAATACCAGAAGACAGAACAAGTTTTAATTATACTGTGTCCAGTAAAACTGTTATACTCTGGAAACACTATTCATACTTGCACAAATCTGCACATCTCAGTATTGCATTTGTAGCAATCCTAACCCAGAGAAAAGCTTTTGTGGATGAAAACTATTGTACTAGAAAATGGAGATCTTTATGGACTAGCACCTGGGAAATGAAACTGTATCAGGTTTACACTAGCAGAAAAAGTTGTTTTGCTTCAAACAAATTTGTATTTTGGTCAAAGTTTAAAAAAATATTTGTGAAAAGCAGTGATTTGAGCCACTAATAATGCACTGCCAGAAATCCTTGTAATAAAAGTCAACAGGTGAACTTGATATACAAATACAGACAGCAATTCTGTTTAAAATTTTATGTCCTAGAAGGCGAGTAAAAATAGGTAATTCATTTTTCAGTGTACTGTATCATGATCAGCTAATTAGCTGATATGTCTGATGTTTTAAAGACCCAATTGTCTTGATAGTTACTCAATTAGAGCTGGTGATTCATCTTTGCTTATTTTTAAGAAAATTTCTTTTTCTTATACTTAGGCCAATAATAGCTGTAGTTTGGTTTTAACTCCAAAGCAAGTAAACAGAACATTCTTATAAAATGTCCTCCAACAGTTTATGTTTCAGGTAAGAAAGAGAGCAGAGTAAATATGGATATGGTGACAAGTGGTAACTTGCCAGAGTTTTTCCTCCCATCAATAGCCAGATTCCAAACTGAAAAAGTAGTGCATTTGAACAGAATAAAGGATAACATCCAGAGTGGGACAGAGAAATCCAGCAGGTTAAAAAGTATCAGTTTAGTTTTTCACACATTAGCTATTTTCAGTTACATCACATCTCGTTATTAAGGGATAATAATCRGTTTGCTTTTCACCATCACTGATAGTAGAACTTGCTAGAATTTATTTTCAGTATGTTCGGAATGTAGATATGTAAATTTGTATATGTTAATATAATTATTCAAGTAAGGTAGCTGCTAACACAGTTTCACTGGGTGGGCTGTCATAATGCTCATAATCACAGCATCTTCAAATTCTTAGTTGCTCCAGCTCTGCACATCCCAATAAACGCTTTTGGATTTAAAAATCTGAATCAATATACCACAGTTGTAGCTCTTCAAATAGTAACAAAAAAATGGGAAGTCTTCACTGTGCACAGGAAAGAAAAATTAGAACAGTAGCTTTTTCATCAAGACTCCCTACAAATGTTCTACTGAAAAAGTATCATTCCAGAACACGCACTAGTTTTCAATCACAGATAATAATCGTTTCTTCCAAATGAACAAATTAAGAATCCAAAAGCATCAAAAAGTCTAAGCTATTTGGAAAAAATAAGGGGAATGGTAGGAAAATATTCATGAATTAGAGAAATTCTTTGTCAATGATTTTAGAAAAAGTTCTAGATATATATGTACTGTTCATCCTCTTCCCTGCAGGAAGCTTCACTTAGAATCTCAGTACCTCAATATTTGCTACAAAGGTCTTTGTAAAGTCTCTTTTGCCCCACCCTCCTCATTTCAATCTTAACTTYTGTTATTTATATAACTCAGGTTTTGTAAGTTTAATATTGTTAGAAATGCTGCACTACATTAATGTCAATGGAAAATGGAAAATGGAAAATGCTTGCTTCCTCTCAGAACATTAGTATTTAAAGAAATAAAATTAAAAAATTTAAAATGTAACCAGTCATTTTGTGTTTCTCAGTTTTGGAATTTTAGTTGAAAACATCACCATTTTGTCTTTTAAACACTGATGTAAAATTATCCCCAAACAATCAAACTGATTTCATATTTGAAAAATTTAATCCTTATTATGCAGTAGTGTCTCTTTTAAAAGCAGTACCATAGGAGAAGGGAAAAAAACTCCAATGCATTTTGACACTATGGGAATTTTCAGAGCATATAAAAATTTTATTTAAAATTTTCATCTAAACAGAGCGATTTCAAAATGAACTAAAGATAGCTGGAAAGCTGTAATTGCTCCTAAATAAGGCAACCATCTAAATCAGTATCAGGAGAAGCACAAATGAACTTCTGGCACAAGTATCTGATCTGCAGTGCTGTGTTAAGAGTAAAATAATGRATGGATACATTAGTCTAGACCTTTCAGAAATTTTTGCAGTGCTTTATAATTGTTATTTAGCCATAACTGAGCTAAATGTTTTTCTAACAACTACAGAGGGATGCTGGAAATTATGTCTCCCTGCTTGTCCTTCCTTCAGTTCACCTCCCTGAAACCCTCAAAGTTCTCAACCCTTAACACAAGAAGGCTTGCTGCAGTGAGGTCATGCCACTTCTTTTCAAGCTTCATTGTCTGACCTAAGCTTGTCCAGCTTATCCAACTGCTTTGATTTCCTTGTTTCAACTATTCAGTACATATGAACTTGCTCAGGGACAAAGAAGCTACTATCCGCCATATGACCAAGATCTGAAAGTGAATTTTTATATACTTTAGAAAGACGATTCAAATGAATGCAAATTGTCCATGTAGAGTTTCCAATTCAAATGAATCCAGAAGCTGTGCTTGTGACTGCCTTTTGTGTTGTGTGCAAATATAACACAATCATATTAAATATTCCCTGCTTTTATTTACCCATGTCAACAAAGCCAATGTTGCATGTTAAACTGGCTTCAGATTTTAAGTAATTTTTTAAACATTGCACATGAAAACATTGAAATAGTCCTTCCAATTTTAACACCCAATAAAAGTTTAAATTAGTCAATAAGGATCACCTACACTACTCCTGTTTATAACATGTTCTAGGAGAAATATCTCTAATACTAGAATATACTCAAGTTTTCAAATTAAGTAAAGGCAAATTATCCTCAAGAGAGCCACTCTTCTTCTGTAAGTGATTTTGCTGACTTCTGATGTGAATCTTACAGACTTTCGGCTAAATTGTCTATTTAAATCTACAACCCTGAACTCTTTAATAACATGCATGATAATCTTCCATGGACATTTAGCTTCTATGACTTCCTATATGCTTAAAATCATGGGGTTTTTTTTACTCATAAAAACAAACACTCTGCAAAACCTATTTTCTTTGCACTCTGAGTATGCAGATTACAAATTACTGAGCACTCAAACTCTATTCAGCTTCTTCATTGCTCTATTTCTAGTATTTCAAAGGAACAGTGTAGCACTCATACATGGCGACTAGAATACTTACAAGCTTGCACTGTAACAGAGTGGCACTTTTTACAAAACTCCAAACCCCTTGTTACTTGAAAGTCATCTTTTGATTTGTACCAGAATCTCCAGATAGAGTCTCAGAATTAGCTTTCCCTCATTAATGACAAAAAGTAGCCTCAAAGGTGAGCACAACCTCTAAGCAAGGCAATTCCAAAGCTAATGCCCATGGGAAAGTAACTTTGTACAAGTTATATTTTAAAAGCAAAGACATGTCAGCACAAAAATGAACCCAAAGTCCTGGTAAAATGAGATAAACTCAATACATCACATTCAATATTGGTATGTAAAACACAAAATGAGGTCAATTTTTTTCTCATGTACGTCAGGGTGCTTTACACTTGCTGATCTGTTCACTCCACCAATATCAATTCAGTCAAATTCTTTTAAAAAATCTACTACGAAATCTGGAATGAAACACTACATTTACTCAATTTGTGAAAAAACAAATGTAAACACAGATTCCCCAGTGACATTTGCACAACTTTACTTTCCAAAGARAAAGGAGACAAACAATTGTTGATCCTGGTCACAGATGGCTGATTTGCTGAAAGCAGATAATAATATATCATAGCCATAAATCTCTGTGAATATGCAAAGCTAACTTTATTCAAAGACTAGCATAGTCAAGAGAAGCACAATCAAAGAGAAGCACATGGAATCTGACGTTCAAAATAAGGCTACAGCTCCAATGACAATGTACAACCCACATTCTTATGAGGAAATGGATATTTTCAAGCCAGCTTGGTGGCCAAAACTAATTCTTCTTCACAACCAAAAAAAAAACAAGGTGTAAAACAATACTAAGAACCCTATATCCCACTCAGAAAAGCAGGTACATCTAGGTTTTTCTGGGTAATGTGGGTAACATAATTCTTGGAGGGAATGATAGCAGGAAGAAATAAATCTATTCTCAGTGAGAAGCTGGGGGTTAAAAGAAGAAGTTGAGATTGCAGTATTGTTCACTGTGGAAGAAAACAGAGAAAACAAGAAGGAGAAGGAGAAAAAAAGCCAAAGCTGAACAAAGACCCAAGGATCGCCCGTAAGTCTACTCCAAAAACACTGACAAGAAATTGTAAATTGCCTCAGATAAGGCAATAGTTGCACATATAGAAATGACAGAATGTGAATACCCTCTATAAAGAACAGCAAAAAGACATTATCATCGGTAACTTACAAACACTTTGATTCTTGGGGATAAGAACTATATTCTCACATGGGTCAGAAAAGACTAAGATAATAGTATGGCAGAGCAGAAACAAAACTAGTCTTTGTTATCTGAAGGGAAGGAAAAACAAATTCTAGGGTTTAGAAAAAAGAACACATTTTCAAAAATGCAGACTAAAAGGTGCTTACATAGAAGAATAAATCAAGAACAGGGTAACAACTGCATTGCATATCCCTACAGCCCAAAGTTGACTGGGCTCCTTTACAGACCTAAAGATGGCTAGATTTGCTTTAATTTGAATCTGAACTCTAAACACTTAAGAATACGTAAAGAGGCAGGCAAATTTCTGATGTTTTACTTGTTATATAGCTGTATCCACTATCACCTATAATTCCAAACGAAATTTTGTTTTTGTACTATATAAAGCAAGGAAAGTAAAATAGAGAAATTAATATTTTTCTAAKGTCGCTTTTCACAGATTTTTTTGTACAATGTGTTTTTGGTTCTCAAGCTAATTTTTTAGTATGTTTACTTGTCTTGGGTTGATTT